CCCCCCCCTCTCTGTTCAGGCAAGAAACCCTATACCAGGGGTAGGCAACCTCGGCTCTTTTATGACTCTATACTGTATGCTTTGATGACTCTATACTCTATGCTGACTCAGGAATTCTGGGAGTTGAAGTCCATGAGTCATAAAAGAGCCGAGGTTGCCTACCCCTGCCCTATACCATTAAAAAAAAAAAAAGGTTGTCCAAGCTCTTCTTAAAAACCTCCAGCGTTGGAGCATGCACAACTTCTGGAGGCAAGTCGTTCCACTGATTAATTGTTCTCACTGTCCGGAAATGAGAGAAGCTCCTCGGCGACTCCTCTTCCCTCCCGATTCTTCCGCTGAGCGGAGCGCTCCCTTTTCTTTCACCGGATGACCCCCCCCTCCTCCCCCCGCAGCCACAGGCAGAGCAAGGGGTAGCGGGACGAGTTGGGGAGACGGATTGTGGCGGCGTTTGGCGAAGGGACCGTAGGGCATGTCTCGGGAATTCGCTGCCCACTGAGGAACACAGCACAGTAATGCTCCTTTTGTCCAAACAAAGTCTGCACAGGAGTGACAAAAATAAAATAAAATTAAAAAAATCGTTGTAATCTGCCGTTTATTATCACCCAGCAGGTTTTCTTTTCAAATACCCGAAGAAACGCCACCGTGAAGAGCTCCTGTTAAGATATATATATATATTCTAGAATGGAGTGATTGATGGATTTATTATGAACAGTTCCAGGAAGGCAGATTCGGCAGGATCCAATCTGGGTTGCTCGCCGGTCCCGGTGACCGACCCAGGTTGGACCCTGCAACATTATCCTGGGACAGGGGTAGGCAACCTCGGCTCTTTTATGACTCATGGACTTCAACTCCCAGAATTCCTGAGTCAGCATAGCTGACTCAGGAATTCTGGGAGTTGAAGTCCATGAGTCATAAAAGAGCCGAGGTTGCCTACCCCTGTCCTGGGACATTCGCCTTACATTCGTAAGGCAGATTGTGGCTGCCTTTTTGGAGACGTTTCCTTACAAATGCGGTGTCACAGCGTAGGGAGGGCTTCTCTATCTCCTCATTGGATAGACAGCCCGGTTAATACTTTAAATCTGGATTCCCACAACAAGCAGAGATTTTGACTTCAAAGCCTAAGGGGCCTCTCTTAACCAAATAAATTATATATTTCAAGGCGGGGTGGGCGGGTGAATGGGATAAAACTCACTTGAATGTTTCACTTAGCAGCATAAATTTTGGACTCAATTGTGGTTGTAACTTGAGGAGTACCTATACTGCTTATTCTTGAAACTGGTGCTTTGCTTTAGAGTACGATAGCTTCCCATTTATTTTTCTAAAAAATAAACCAGTCTTTAAAGGGTTAAATGGGGTTAGGGAATTCTGCAGGTGCTAAGTTCTGGATTGTAACATTGTCTCTGGATGCCACATGCAGGATCCAGATTTGTTCAATAGATCTAAAGCGGATCAATTTGATAATAAGCTGATTGAGAAGGAGTCCATCTTTGCAGTGGAGTTTTCATTCTTTTTGCATACCTGTGCTCCTTTTTTCGTCTTTTAGGATATTTCCGTTTTGATTGCCGTGGCTGTAATTGTACCATCTACGCTATTTTTGCTTTATAAAATAATTGGATCTCAGAAGAAAAAAGATCCAGTGACCTTGCAGGATCCAAATATCAAATATCCATTGTCTTTGATGGATAAAGAGGTGAGCTATCAGTTGTTGTTGTTTTTTGGCTTGAGTGTATGAAAATGCCAGATAAAACTCTTGACAGCAATGTGCCAAGTTGGATGTCTATATTTTAAATGAGAGATTGCAGGGGTTGGACTTGAGCCTTTGGCACAGAAAGCATGTGCACTGACAAAAAATTGTGTCTGTTCAGAAGCATTAAGATTTGAATATGTGATATTGACCTACATCTATTTTCTCATGTTTGGAAGGCCATCAGTGTGCCAAGTTATTTGGAAATTTTGCCCTTGGGATATTGCATAATGTACTGTAACAGCAGCTCTGATATATTGAAGCAGCAACAGAGTAGATACCGCTTGAAATTCTAATATGTGGTCCAGTGTGTACAAGATTTTCTCAACCCACAACTGGGTACGTTGTATATTCAGTCCTGTGGGGTTGTGCAATGTTCTAATAGAAGCATAAAAAGAAAGAAAAAGAAATAATCCAAGGAATTAAAACTTAAATGATTACGGGGGCCACATTGCATAAAGTATGCTACCTGGTGGGCCGCATTCATGTCCATAGAAATATTAAAAATTGAACTGAAACTGAATATTTTATATGAAATATAAAATAGGTAACATTATTCAGTGTACTCAACATCATATTCCTGGTCTGGCAGCCAGCCACGTTTCTCATTGACTGGCAACCATATTATCCACACTGGGACACTTTGAGAGAGATAGGGGGACATTAAAAAATAATAAACACATATGAAAATTACATAAATCTTGTGAATGTTCTTAATTTTCCTGTGTTTCCCACTGATCTCACTGTCTATCCCTACAGCACCTCTGGCAATTCCATTGATAGGCAAACTAGCTGATTCAAGGGAAGTAGAATGAGAAGACACACAAGCCCAGGGCTTGGCAAACGTGGCTCTTTTATGACTCGTGGACTTCAACTCCCAGAATTCCTGAGCCAGGAATTCTGGGAGCTGAAGTCCACGAGTCATAAAAGAGCCAAGGTTGCCTACCCCTGACCTAATCTATAACCTTGGATGGCTAGCTGAAGACTTCACTGATCATATTATAAATTGAGCATGTGTCCCCTGATGGATATTGGTAAATATAGCCTGATTTATAACATGGCAGCATAGCTGGCTCAGGAATTCTGGGAGTTGAAGTCCACCAGTCATAAAAGAGCCAAGGTTGCCTACCCCTGCACAAGCCAATGTGTTGAGGGAAAAGCAAAGGCAGTGCCAGGCACCCTTTCTCCATATTATCTCCTTTATGAGGCCTCAGACAGCTGCTGTCTGCTTGTGAGGCTCAGATTTCACCCTTACCCCCCCTAGTGCCTGTTTATACGGCATCAATTTCTCTCTCACAAGGTTGCAGTGTTGGCTTCCTCTGTGGGGGAGGAGTAAAGTGCTATTCACTATGGGAGGTAATCCAGCAATGCCAGGAAAAAGAGATGGGAAAAGGGTGCCTGGAGCTTGAAAATCTGGGACAAATGATAAACCAGGAGGCACGGTCACCCTACTGAGATGCTGGCTGCCAGGCATAGCCAGATGCACACAGTGGGGATGGGAGGAGAAACTGAGGCAGTAGTGCCTCATGGGTGAGGCTGCCATAGGCCGTACCAAAAAAACTCTCAATGGGCCAGATATGGCCACAAGCTGAATGTTTGAGATCTCCGAATGAACCAATGCCCAAAAATCTTGTACGTTCTCTGCCTTGTTATGGTTAGGTCACTTTTGGTATTCCCCCTTATCATTTATGGTGCCTCCCCCCTTTTTTCCTCAGTTGTATATTTTAGCACATGGAAAGTGAGGCTTGTCACAATGAAAAGGTCTTAAATTATTTTTGTGATGCTTTATTGCTCAATGTTTTTCCACCTGATTGCTTTTTCCCAGGATATCAGCCATGACACCAGGAGATTTCGATTTGCACTTCCCTCACCAGAACACATATTGGGCTTGCCTGTAGGTAAGCATAGCCTTATTCTTCATCACTTCCTGGTGCAGAGTCCTTTCACTGGTGCCCACCCGCCAACATCTTCTTTGAAAAGCCCTTCTTTGAAACTTGTTTGATACTGAAGCTGGGTTTTTTTTAGCGCTGCACAAAATCTTTTGTTAATTATCTCCTTGAAATCATAAGTGATTTTAATGTTGAGATGTCGAATAAATACTATAGTATGCAAGGACTCTCAGAGATAACAGTCTGTTTTCAACAGCATTAGTCAACATTATAGGTGAATAATGTTCACTTGATCCAAAGGACTGAAAATTAATTCACAGTCTGTATCAAACTGAGTAGCAAAGTTACTTCCAAGTAAGTAGTTACGTTTACTAAGTTACACTTACTATTTCATTCAACGACTCTCTTAAATGGATGGTGATGGGTTAAGACATACTTAGGCTGGAACTTGGTCACATTGTAGGGGAAGCAGTCAAAATGCAGTCATGGGCAAACTTTCTTGGATAAATCCAGTGGACAAGAGTTGGCTTTTTTTTTAACTAATTGTGTTGCAGAATAGGTTATCTATCAGTTCTGGGAAATATGGGTGGAAACCATCCAGTTGTGAAGCATCCAGCTGTGTGCACATGTTCTTTTTTTTTTTCTTATGGCTCTGCCACTCACCTTCTTTGAGGGACGTACCTTACCCTGTCTTTCTTACAGGAAAATATATGGTGCCCAGGTATCTATTCATTCCCTGATAGATGATTTGCTTAACTAGAGTTTCACACAGATTGACTTGCCTTATTATTAAAGTTCTTTTATTGCAGGTGTTTATATACTGTCCTTTAATATATCATAATGGGGATTGCAAAAAAAAAATGAGAAAGTAAAACACAGATGCCACATAAGTGAAACTACAGCCCAAAGGTGGCATATACAGTATTTAAAACTCATCTCTCATTGAATACCGAGGAGAATAAAAGATTTCAGTTTTAAATAGTGGTCAGTCATAGTTTTTCCAAGCCAGATGTGATTCATGGATGTGAAGACATAGATGACAAGGACTTATTCATGCTTGTTTCTTTGGCTGTGTCTGGCTTCAATGATAAAAGCTGGAATATTAAACCAGAAACAGGTTAGGAAACTAGGCAGATATTTTAGCATAAAAGATAGGTCTCCAATGAGGTAGAATTCTAGCACTGTATTGTGATCTCGTAACTTTTGGAAAAGGCAGAAACTACTCAAAATAGGTTGGAATTTAACTGTTGATTGCAGCTGCATCTGTATTTTATTTCAGCAGGCATGCTGTCTGATGCAATCCTTTTAATATAGTCATTAAACTCTTTAAGATGTATCTGCCAAACTAATGCCTTAAGAGAGTCAGTCAAGTTACACAAAGAAAAGAGTTAATCCCCTGTCCTGAACACTAAAGTTCAGGCTGCTGTAGTTAACCAACACATGCTCATAACTGCAGTCATGCAGTTAATGTCATGTTTTGTTTGGTGGCCTTCTACTTTTTCAGAAGCTTGAATGGTGACACTCCACACCTCTGCAGGATCTACAGTTCATGGGGATTTGTAGATTTCCAGATATTATTTTCTTATCAGCTAGTTGGAACTGACTTCTCCCGCTCCCACCCAACATTTTTATGTTTATCTTTACAACTGTAGGAGGTTCTTCTTCTTTCTTAACTAAGTATATAAGAATTGACATTTCTCTCTGGGGATGAGAAGAATTGTGCTCCCAATCAATTTTGCAGATGTTATCTAGTTTGGAAAGGGATCCCAAATCATTTGCTTTCTTCTTTAATGCCATAATAATAAACTTTGGAACTATAACTATTTTTCTCTAGGCCAACATGTATACCTCTCTGCCAAAGTCAGTGGTAACCTTGTGATTCGGGCTTATACTCCAGTTTCTAGTGATGAAGTGAAAGGATATGTTGATTTAGTAATAAAGGTAGGTTTAAACTGTTTTGACCAGTTAAATTAGTCTGTTTTGATTGCTATGCTTCTCAAATAAATTGTTCCCCAATACTTTAGTTACATAACAATAGAATAGAGCTGGAAGGGACCTTGGAGGTCTTCTAGTCCAGCCCCCTGCTCAAGCAGGAGAGCCTATACCATTTCAGATAAGTGACTGTCCAATCTCTTCTTAAAAAACTCCAGTGATGGAGAACCCACGATTTCTGAAGGCAGGCTGTTCCACTAGTTAATTGTCCTCACTGTCAGGAACTTTCTCCTTAATTCCAGGTTGCTTCTTTTTTTGGCTAGTTTCCAACCATTGTTTCTTGTCCTGCCCTCTGGTGCTTTGGAGAAAATTTGACCCTCACTTCTTCTTTGCAGATGTTAAAAACAGATAATACACCACATTTGATATCTAGAAATTATCTTTGAATATATGGTTGGAATACTGTGCACAATTATTTTAGGGATAAAGCACTGAGACTGAGAAGAAGAACGAGTAAATGATGAAAAATCCATTTCTCTATAGCTTATTTAATTTTGTTACTTTTCTCAGCGAAACCAATGTACCTACTTACTATAGGTGCTTCTAAAACCTCTGAGAAGTCCTGATTTGAATTTCCTGTTCATAATAAAAGTAAAAAGTCTTAATGGATGTTGACAGACCAAGGTATCAAAAGACAGAATGTGATATAAGTTGAATATTTTTAAAACAGTTTTTTAAAACCAAGTATTTTATGTCTAATTTGAGATAAAGACCCAGAGTGAATAGTTCTTCTTGACCACACTGTGTGTGGTTCTGCCTGTATGTATAATGAAGAAATAATATCATCCAGAGCTTAGTAAGCAACGTATTCAAAATTACTCTGAAGTGATCTTGATTATGGTTTGGGGGTTATTCATTTATATTTACCATGTTAACATTGCTTCCTTGAGGCACGCGTTCTCTAAGACCTCACAAAACAAATCTAACATTAAAACCCGCCACAGTATAAAACAGTTATACTTAAAACAGGTTATAAATAAAGAAGCTCAGCCTAGAATACATGTTCTTCAAAAGTTTAATTAAAAAGTTCTTTCCCCATTGTGAAAAGATCATTAATGTGTCTTCAGGTGAATTTCTCTGGGAAAACTGTTCTATAACTGAAAAGGCCTTCTCATTAGAGCTTTCCCTACCTTGCTATATGAAGAGAAGGATTTCTAAAGATCCAGCTTATATTTAAGATGGTATTTTAGGCAACTTGCTCCCAAACGATTTTGGGTCTAAAACAAGTACATAAATAGGGCCATTAAATACCTAGTAAAATACATAATTGAGGGTGAAGGTTTGTTCTCTGAGCTTGTGAGTTGGTTTCCAAACATTTCGTTACCAGGATAGGTAACATCTTCAGCAGAGTTTAGGGGATATAATTAAATACTTCATAATTGGCCAAAAATAGCAGTCTAGGTCAGGGGTAGGCAACCTTGGCTCTTTTATGACTTGTGGACTTCAATTCCCAGAATTCCTGAGCCAGCCATGAAGTCTACAAGTCATAAAAGAGCCAAGGTTGCCTACCCCTGGTCTAGGTTAATACTCTTGTAACTTTATTGAGGATAAAATTATTTGCCCCTAGCACTGCAGTGGATTTGTTTTATAGAGCGTAAACAGGAGAAATGTGGCTTTTCCTGGCTTCTAATTCATGATTTATGTAACAGTACAAAATAGAATTATCTTTTCCAATGCAGACCACTGTCATCTAAATCTAAAACAGTGCAGTTATTGCATGTGTGTGTATTCTTTCTAGGTTTACCACAAAAATGTTCATCACAAATTTCCTGAAGGTGGAAAGATGTCCCAGTACTTAGACGCCATGAAGATTGGTGACACCATGGATTTCAGAGGGCCTAATGGGCTTCTGGTTTATAAAGGATCAGGTACTATTTCATTATCAAGTTTATAATTATGAATAGGTTTGATCAACTGCTTTTGAAGAAATAAAAGCGGTAGGCAGATGAGAGATATTTATTTTTTATTTTATTTATCAAGTTTTGAAACTACCCATCTCTCTACAGAGAGTCTCTGGCCGGATAATATAGCATGTCACAAGTTAAACAAACCTTAGATCTTTTGCCCGTGCAATCAATTTTAAGTTGTTTGTGTGTGCTTCATAGCCATTTGACCTACAATAATTTGGAATGCATCTGTGATATTTTACAGATAGCATCTCCAACTTTAGCATACTTTTCCCCCTCTCCTCTCCTGCTGTTAATGAATATCACATTATTTATGTGGTTGAATGTAATTCATTGAATATGGCAGGGGTCCCCAATCTGTGGGCTGTGGTCCACTAGCGGGCTGGGCCTATTGGCCTCCAGGCTGCATGAGTGGTTGGCCAGTGCTTGTATCTGCGTGCATGCACAGCCCCACTTGCAGGAGCATTGCAAGCATCGCAGGTGTTCGCAGCCCCACTTGCGCAAACATCACCACGAGTGTCACAGGCATTCACTGGTCCACTCATGCGAGTGTTGTTGCGGGCATTCACAACCCCACTTGCGCAAGCAATGGGTGTACTTGCGTGAGCACGCATTCACACATGTATTTACCCCCCCCCAGAAAACCATCCCTTCTTTCCCTCCTCCCTCCCTTCAGGCCACCAACCCCAAAAGTTTGGGGAAGTTTGGAATACGGCATTCAACAAATACCACATTATTCTGTTTATTTCTTTGTATCCTATCTGTTGTTTTTACAAATAACTCAAGGTGGCAAACATATCCAATACATCTTCCTCCTATTTTTTTCACAATAATGACCCTGTGAGGTGGGTTGGGCTGAGACCCAAAGTCACCCAGCTGGCTTTTGTGGGTAAGGGTGAACTTGAACTCATGGTCTCCTGTTTTCTAGCCTGGTGCCTTAACTACTAAACTGGTTCTCTTATTTATAATAAATAGAATGCCCTTTCTGTTACACTAAATATAATTTGGTAATAACTCCTGGAAGTCTCTGGTCAAACTATCGGATCTGAGCTGAATGTAACCAACCATTAGATGGTAGCAAATATTTACAGAATACTAGCAAATACTTACCAAATATTATAACTCTGTTATAATGGTAGCAAATACTTATAGAACATCTGTGCCACCATCTAAAGGTGGTTCGTATTGCAGCAGATCTAGTAGCATGGTTCCAAAGGTCACAAGAAAACTCCCAGGAGCTGTAAACTGCTCTGGAGACTCAGATTGTACACTTGTGGATTAATATTTAGCTTTGTATGAGCTCAGGCAATTATGGCTTATTCAGCAAGGTAGTTTCAAATATATACCTAGCTTAACTCTGCTTATGAGAGGGAAGGCCTTTAGCACTGTACAGGTTTTCACCCTTAGAAATCGATATAATATTGCAGATTTAATATACAGTAATGTATATAGCTGTGATTCAGAGCTTTGCACTGGTTCAATTTTGTTGGAATTGACGCTTGTAATTTTACACAGGTAAATTTGCTATCAAATTGGATAAAAAGTCTGAAGCAAAGATGAAGTTTGTTAAGCACCTTGGGATGATTGCTGGGGGAACAGGTAGGTATTCCTTGTTTTGGGAATAGGGAGGCTTGAATAAATTAAAAAAAGCCATATACTTCCTGATTATGATGTATGCTCTAAAAGGAACTTTGTCAAATTAATATTTATTATTGTCCCCTCTATTGCAAAAGAGTAAGCACAGAAGACCTGACCAAGGCTTAGCATGGAACAGAAGATATGTCATATCGGATACACAACTTAATTTACTTCTAAAAATGTTTGAATACTTACCCTTGTCTAGATAATTGCTTAATAAGCTAACTCTGAACTCAGTTTGAAGTGCTGATTATGACATAAAGTCCTAGTCAATTTGACACTTTGGCTTTTGAAAAGCCACATTCTTATTATGAGCCTAGGCATTCTTTGAGATCTTTTAAGATTTCTATTCTACTGATCCTCTTTTATAGTTAAATATAATTTAATATTCTGTCATTAGCCATGAACCTGTGCCTCAGAAGCTGAACGTAAAATTAAATAGTGTGAGACTAAAGTCATTTAATATGAAAGGAGGAGAAAAAAGATACCCTCTTAGACAAAGTATTAAATAATATTGAATCTTGGGAATGACTGTTTTATCTATCATTTCTCTCCCTTTCTCTCTTTTCTTATCTTGGAAATTTTGGAGAATTATATTACCTTCAGTGAGTATTTAAAAAAGCACACATTTGTTCTATTTTGTGTGCCTTTCATGCTCACACAAATGCCCACCTAGTTTTATAGTTGACAAGGATAGGAATAATAACCAAACGTTATGGCTCTACTTTTGGGCTATGGAAAAATGATTACTTCATTCTGAACCTTGGCTTTGATTTGATAGGAATTACTCCAATGCTTCAGCTGATCCGCCATATCACAAAGGACCCTACTGATAAAACAAAATGTTATCTCCTTTTTGCTAATCAGGTTGGTTGACTTATGTTTTGTTTGCCTTTCCTTTTTGTGAAATCACTGTAAAAGCAACTAAGCCACCAGCAGTTGCTTGGACATCCACACCATCCTCCTGACTACGTATCAAAAAGTTTGTTCATTGCTCTTCCTTTGGTAAAAATTAAACATTTTTTTCTGGTTCCCATGGAAAGCTGGATGCTATTGATTTCAAACAGAGGTGGGTGGGAGGATGGTGAGGTAGCCAGGAAGAACTATAGTTTGAGTAGCCTCCTCATCTTCTTATATACCTCCTCTGTAAGACTGATATATGCCCAGTCAGGTGCTGACAGATTAATTCTGCATGCCCCATGGGTTCATTGGAAAGGTATTATACCTAGCACATTATTATCATTATGCCCAATGATAAATTGCATGTTTAATTAATAGAACCAGCATAAGATGTTGTGCCAGATGTATAGGAAATCCCTGGTGGTATTGATAGTTTTCTGATTCCACAGAATTGCTGACATCTAATTCTAACCACATTGCCCACAACGTAAGCCACTCTACTTGAGAGTAACTCACTTCTAGGAAGGTTGAATAGACTGCCTTCCACAGCAAAGAGAATTGATGAATACAGGGAAGCCGCAAAACAATATATAAAATAAGAATCCTAGATCAAAAGGTAAACTAATACTAACAATGGGCTCTGTGTCAACCTGCATGTTCAACTCTGAATGGTTACTTGACTTTTGATTGGCAGACGGAACAGGATATATTACTGAAACCAGAGCTTGAAGATGTAGCTGCAAACCACTCAGACCAATTTAAATTGTGGTATACTTTGGACAGACCACCTCATGGTAAGCTGATGTTGCTCAAAGGCTAAGTGAACTCTTCTGAATAGAACAATTTAAGATAACGCGTTTATCTCTATTGCAATCATATGGGACATTTGCCTTGATATGATGCATCACTTTTACCAAAGTAGAATTTGAATTTTTCACACATTGCCTTTCCGGACTGAAATTATTACCATTATTCCAAGCACCTTTCCACTGTGATTTGAGCAGTACAATATCAGATATTAAGTCTTTATAGAAAATTGCTTGAGAAGTATATAGTTACTGTGCTGTGTTTCTAAGTAATGGATTACCTATCACAGTTAGCGACACATGTTTTTTAACACGGGAAGGTGAAGAGTAGCATGAAAATTCATAATGCAGCCTTTCCACCTGTAGTAATAACAGTAATTAAGCAATTAGGTTTGTGCAAGTCAATAACAAATTTATTCGATTTTTACCCTGCCTTTATTACTTTATACATAACTCAGGGTGGTGAATATACATAATAGTCCTTCCTCCTCCTATTTTTCCCACAAAACCCACAACCCTGTGAGGCAGGTTGGGCTGAGAGAGTGATTGGCCCAAAGTCACCCAGCTGGCTTTCATGCCTAAGAACTAGAACTTGAAATCTCCTGATTTCTAGCCTGGAGTTTGGTAAACTGATCTTAGTTAAGGTTATGATTCTATCTTTGAAGCAGAGACGTACAATCTTGGCCACCATGTGTGTTTGCAGGATATCTCCAAAAGTTGCTGTCAAAGTATCAATATGGTTTGAGGAAATTATTAAGTATAAAGAGAATGATTGTGTTACTATGAAATATAACATTCAAATTTAATGAAATCAAGCTTAGTTAGATTTCTTTGAAATGGAGGAGCCATGAGAACACCATGATTTCATGCTAGACCAGTAGTTCTCAACCTGTGGGTCGGGACCCCATTTGGGGTCAATCGACCATTTCATGGGGGTCGCCAAGCAAGGCTGTCCGCCATTTTTTTTGTCCGCCATTTTTTCCCCTTTTCTGGCGGGTGCCTTACCTCCCTTGGGCTGGGCCAGCTGGTGGTCAGCCTGCTCCGTCTCTGCCGCTTGCCAGCTACGCCTCGGCCGGCGCAGGGGGCGGAACCACGCATGCGTGGCGCTCCCGGGCAGGGAAAGTCCTCGACTTACGACCGGTTTAGTCCTCGACTTACGACCGGTTTAGTCCTCGACTTACGACCGGTTGGGGTCGCGGCATTAAAAAGGTTGAGAACCACTGTGCTAGACATTGCCATGAAGCTTCTCTTTGCTTTTTGTTGCAGGATGGAAGTATAGCACTGGCTTCGTTACTGCAGACATGATAAAGGACCATCTTCCTCCCCCCTCTGGGGACACTTTGATTCTGATGTGTGGACCTCCACCCATGATTCAGTTTGCCTGTCAGCCCAATCTTGAGTTTCTGGGATATGCAAAAGAGAGCACATTTGCTTACTGAACTTGAAGGTAATTCATTTAGCAGATGTCATAGGTACTATGCTTATGCAAAACATTTGAAGGTGCACATTACAGAGTGGGTTGATGTAAGCAAAATGTTCCTCCTTGAAGCATTAAAACAACCATGACCTGTAGGAGTGTCCCTACAACTACCTTGAAGAATTTCCCCAAATGTGTAATTATGCAACTACTTTGGTTGGCCGGCAGTCCCAGAGAAAGTGTTGTCTGTGCAAGAATACTGTAATGGAATGCACACCTGGAAGAGCAGTGGGTGAGTGGAAGGGACTTGTGGCAACACAGAGCTTTTCCAGAGAGAGGCCCAGAGTAAGAGGCTGCACAGTTCCAAGCTGGGTGTGTGTGTGGGGGGGGGAAGAGGTTCAGGGTAGCCACAGTCTAGAATCTCTCAGGATGTATCTAGTAAATTAAGAGGTTACAGTTTTAGTCTGTCTATTAACTGTAAGCAAATGAAGCAATGAACTCAATTGCATGTTGCGGTATCGTCTCTAGGCCTGGGCCTGACAAACACACATTCCAGAGGGGAAAGACTTCACGGGACCTGTGCTGATTCTTCAAAAGAGGACACTTGTCTCATACTTTCTAATGCCTTGCCTAGCCTTAATAAAGTTTTATAAAGCTTTTTTTTGTTTCATGTGAATAAAATGTCGATACATTTTGTGGACTTTGAATTTCCATATGATTTTATGTCAGTTTTTATTAGTGTATAAAGCATGAACCGCTTTTGAAACAAAGTTGGTTAGGAATTAATTGCAATGGACAGTGGTAAGGAGCCCGTGGCTTCTTGTAAGATCTGTAGTCCATATTTTTTTTTTTTTTTGCAGTTGTTGGATCTTCTTCTGGTCACAGTTGCTGAAGCTGACTTCAGCTTTTCACCAATGTAAAAACTATGACATGCAGTTTTTAAAATGTACAATTAAAAAGACTGAATTCAAGTATGGCCAAAAGAAATCCAACTGGGATTTTGCTGGGCTTAAATAGCTAATTTATATTCAGATTGGCCTCCCCAAATATTGACTCCAGATGAATGGGATGAAACCATTAGCATACCAAGGCATCCCTAGAGAGAAAGAATGCTTCTCACCTTCCTTAGTCTGACACAATCCTATTGGGCAGTCTCTGACTGAAGAGAAGCAGGGATGCATTTAGCTTGATGTTTCTTGTAGGAAAGATGGTGGCCATGTAAAAAGAGCCATCTAATCTACCATCTGCTATGATGGCAGGACCAAAATGTTTGTCTTCTGAATCAAATATGCAGGTTCGCACGTGCAGTATTTAGAATAACCATGCAACTACAGCACAATTTCCGATCATAAACTTCACCCCAAGCTACTGGTGGGAAATGTGCTTCATTATAAACCAACTTAATAGCTGTAAATACAACTAAGAGTGACATCACCTAATTATACGTGATACCATTTGGAGCATAAGCATGTTCCACAGAAGACTTTAATATTTAGATAATAAAGGAGACAAGCAAGGAAATTATAAATATTTTAAACCTGTTCTCATGCAGAACCTAAAATGCCTCATTTGGATTCAAAATATTCTGCAGCAGAGAAATCAAAATTCTGCCATTTACTGATATACGATACTCCGGTCCAAAATATTTTACCTTGTAGCCCAAATAATGCTTCAGCTCCTGGGAACACCTGTATACATGCTTGTAATGCAACATTAGTTTTGTAAAAAAAATGTACAATAAAGTTTGACGTTTGAACATGCAATATTTTAAATCCAGAATTATACCTGTACAACAAATAAAAATTATGTTCAAAAGGATCATAGGTCTGAAAGGGACAGCTTCTGGATGAACATTGAGCCATGTCTCTGCAATTTACCATTGATTATAGTATCCAAAGCTCTCTTACTTAACTGTGAAAGCTGGGCTGGTGCCACAGAATAAATGTGTTGATATCTTCAGGTTAATACTTGTGCAGGAAGAGTACACCAAGGCTGTGCTTATGTCAGCAATAACTTATGTTGGGAATGTATTTTGCAAACAAGGAATTTGTTTGCCACTAGGTGGCAAACTTGTATAAGGATATTTAGATGATCAGGGTTGCATTAGAATTGTTACAAGCCCTTTAATTTAAGCCTTTAAATTGTAGATTGCTACAAGCCTTTTAAGACAGAACGGCAAATATTTCCACAAAAAAATATTAAGAGTGGCCAATTGCCCCCCCCCAAATCAGTCCTGAAAGAGAATAGTGTTGAGGTGTGCCCATTTATATCATTACAAGAGGAAACTGAAGCAGACAACAGTGCTGTTGCAGATAAGACAGAATACCACGTCAGATTCTAATTATTAATAATATTCTCCTGATGTGGAAATCTGTTCTCACACACCACTGAAATATTACTAATCCTTCCCCCTGAATTTAGATGGTGAACTTGGATCACAGATTTTGGTGGTTTAGGTGTAACTATTAATTATAACATTAATTATAATTATGGTTCTTTTCTGACAAAGGTATTTTTCTCTCAATTACTGTAATTTAATAAAATATTAAAATTTAATAGTTGGGAGATGACTTCAAGAATTTTCTGCACTGAGAAATAAGCGGGATGACAGAACAAGAAGTCCAACTGTGGGCATTTGCTTGATCCCTGCGTTGTTTTTCATACTTCCAATTAACTTTGATCTATAGAATATTTCAAAGAACGTTTAGCTTTCAGCTGATTAGGACAAAAATAAACTGATCTGCAAGGCTATTATGTATAAAGCAGTGATGAGCTTTCTGACTGTATGGCTATGGTCTAGGATTGGGGTGTCCAAACTTGACAACTTTAAGTCTTGTGGACTTCAACTCCTGGAATTCCCCAGCCCGCCATACTGCCAGGAAACTCATCACTGCTTCCTGATGTCAGCTGTGAAAACCTATGCCAACATGCCGTTATGTGTTTCCTTTGAATGTGTGAGTCAAACAAAATGTAGAATTTAGTAATATTTAAGTAATTGTAGAATTTAGTAGTATTTAAGACACATTTTTGGTGTTGCATGAATTAATGCACCCATTTAAACCCTTGAATGAAGAACAGACACCTCTAACTTTTCCATAGTTTCTATCACACTACATCATGGGTGTCAAACTCGCCACGTCACGTGACACGACATATCGTGATTTTTTTCGCATTGCCGGAGCTAGGGTGGGTGTGGCCTCCGCATGATGCAACCGGCCCATGGGCCGGCAGTTTGACACCCCTACACTACAGCAATGAAATGTTATACAAATAACTAATGTAAGTTTTTTGTTAACCTGTCACCACTTAGCCCGGATAACAAGGGTTCTTGTTGTAGAGTGCATGTATAGTTCAGAATTAGCAAGTGGAAGGAAGACAAGAATTATTGCAATGAGGATAGGAATGATTTCTTCATCAAATATTGGGAGCTTCTAGTACTCGGTAGGTGATACTCATAGTGATTAGTCAAAGTGCTCAAGAAAACAGTGAGTGTATCAGTTGGTGGTAGCACCAGGTTAACATTGTCCAGCTTTAAAAATCAAACAGGAACAGACCTGGTTAATTTTTGGATGGGAGAACATCAGGGAATATAAGATTGTAGACAAGCCCAGAAAGCTTTAAAAAAAATGAAGAAAAAGGCAACTTCCATACTACTTTAAAGATAGCTGCATGGTTGCGTCTATTGATCATCAGGGGTTATGTTGCTCTTGATCATGACTGTCTTGAACCAATGAACACATTTTTAATACATCAAGGAATCACTTTCTCACTACCATAGTTCAGATTCAATATACATCATTGCACAAACTACACTAAAGAATAACTACAGCTTCGAAATCTATTGCAGTTCCATTGCTGTGCACTATAACCAAATCTTAGAATTACAAAAGATAGAAAAATGGATCACTATTAAATTGTTTGTAGTGATTAAAATAGATTAACAACAGATCTTTGATTTCCAAATTTCTAGAAAAATAGTATAGTTTGTTGAATGCGTGTTTTTACTACCTAGATCATAGCGTTTTTCTCTGTGTATATGTGTATCCTTTAAAAGCACATTGAACTTTCACATACTTTAGTGGCAAAGAAAATGATATATTTCTAGGTATAGCATCCAGCTTGTTGCATCAGTTTTCTGTCATAATAGGAGAAAGGATTTAGTGTTATTCCTGTGGCGTCTTCATCTCCAGTCCTCAAAAGTTGATGTTAAAAATTGATCGTTGTTCAGCATTTGATCTTGGCTTAACATTGTCTGGAAATTAAAGAACATCAAGCCATATCTAGTCAGATACAGTAGAAAGTAAGAAATGTTTTTTTTATAATTTATGAAATTAATAGTGTTTTCTTCCATTGACCTCAGTGGGAGGAAAGAAAATAAATGAGGGGAGCTTGATAGAGCGCAAGAATCCCTCTCTTGCATGGGGATGGCAGCTAATATATATTTGCTGATTAACAATGATTAGTAATAAAACTTCTAGATGGTCCTCTTGAATTCATACATACCGTAAGGTTGTTTATTCCTCGAGACAGCTCCCCTATTTGCATCACTGTTCCTTCTGAGTGGTCCATCTGCAAAATCATTTCGGCAACTAGATGAAATTAAAGCAGCCATCCAATCTTAAGTCAAATCTGCATGCACAAGTTTTGGGATAGCTGAACTGTTCCACACATATGACAGATGTCTCTGTCTTCAGGAAGTTGAAGTTGAATTACACGGTTCCCCCCCCACCCCCAATACTGGAAATATTTCCAAGTTGCACGTTTTCCATAAACATATATCCGACACCACTGCATATAACAATTAGTAGGTTAATGGGACCAAAAATGAAAAGGCAATTCATGGCAACTTCTTTTTTTTAAAAGTTCTAGTTTGATACTATATTTTTAAATAAAAAGAATGCAACAGAGCTGTTTTCAGTAATTCAAAAAGCATTTCTTGATCTCATGCAGAGATTCAAATGCTTATCATACTATTTTAATAGCTCAAACGTTCATGTTCATTGTTTAACACATAAGATATCCATTAATATGTTCAATGCTTCGTTATTCTAAAATTTATTTCAGTTTTTTTATTTGGCTCCATTATTTAATCATGGCAGTTATCACTGTAACAGAGAAAGTAGGAATATGTCCATTGTTCTTTCCCCTTTTCAACCCCACTCAACGTCCCCATTGTAGGGTCTGAATTTCTGTATTCAGAGATATTCGTGGTGATGGCAGTTTGTTTCTAAACTGATTAGGCTGCTTGCCTTGTTTAGATCCATGGGAGATTAAGTGCCTAAGTACATTATAGCTAATTCTTGTGGCCTATGTTGACTTGTGTTTTTCACACTATCCCTTCCCCTTGCAAATTTTAGAAATTGACATTATCAGCCTTACTTAGATGTGTGCCTTTTCCAAAGTTGGATTTCTTATAATCTCCCTATTCCAGATAGCCTGGGCTTTATTTTGGGTTAGAGACCTTTGTCTAACCTTACAGTATTCTATACAAATCAGCCTTAAGTGACACTCAAATAGGCCTATTAGCAAATCATACATGTGATTGACTGCATGTGTTTAAGGAGTCTTTCAAGCCATAAGGGCTAGCATCTGGGGTAGCACAATTTAAGAGCATAGTTTTCCTCCCATTAAAATAAACATTTTATTTTAAGACAAGACAGCCTCATCTCTGTAATGATTTTTCTAAGGAAACAGTAGCTGGCAAACTTATACACTTATTAATATGACTCTAAGATACAGTCCACGAACGTTACTCAGCTGTATATTCCACACTGGTATTCCATACCACGCCAGTGTTCATGGATATTCAACTAAATTTTGATGACTTGTTTTAAATCAATGTTCGGGCTGGAAATTTCTGGGAGTTGAAGTCCAAACATCTTAAAGTTGCCAGGTTTGAGAAACACTGCTTTAAATTAATTGGGGCAGAACAGATGGGTCTTCAAACAGTGTGGTTCCGTGGTTTCCAAACTCTAACCATGACTGCTTTAGATGGGCAGTGAAACAGCATATAACTCTAAATTACAAGTTGTCAGGAATCATAATATTTAAAACATGCAAATTCCAAGTTTAATTTTCAGTTACTTTGTGGTATTGCATGCATGCGTACTGAGAAGCTTTTCTGTACAAAACTGATTCCTGTAAACCAGGCAGATCCTTTATCCTCATTGAGAGGGGAGTTCTCAGTGAGTTTGAAATGAAAAGAGGCTGAGCTCAAAGCTATGAGGCTAAGAAAATGTGAGGAAAAATCTATACTTTATGAGTGTTTAATTTTAAGAAGCTCCAGGAGTTAGATTGAAAGCTGTGTTTTAAAAATAAACCGAACATTAAAATAGTTCCGATTGTGTATAAATCAAACACATACTGAACAAATTACATGCTTTAAACAAAATAGAAAAACAATTTCATTTTAAATGGGAGAAAAATGGAATGTGTTAGATGTAGTAAATCATGCATATGAAAAAAAAACTTTTTGCAATTAATCTTGTGATATTACCATAATTTTTCTGATCAGTTTAAATGGAGGTTTGGCTTGCTATCTTATATCTTGCAGAAAATTCCAACTACTCCATTTTTCAGGCTTTTTAAAAACTACTTTACACATGTTTCTATGTAATATTCCTTGGGACAGCAATTCATAAAATCAGTCTAAGTACTTTTAAAAGCATAATTCAATCACAAAAAGAATAATCACAACAAAAACAATTAGAGATTTTCGCAAGTAAATATTTTATTGCTTTCTTCAAGAAACTGTATTTAGATATTTTTTTTTAGAAAAGATTGATTAGGCCTATATTTTAATGTTCTGTTGTATGTAACCACTATGGTGCAGACACTGCACAATTAAAATAACATATTTTAATAAAAATATACAATCCAGCTGTGCTGTCAAGAATAAAATAGATCATTCTTACCACTGTGGACATGAAAAAGCTAATACAAAATGTTAAAAAATATTGTTGGGCATTATAAATGAAATATAAAAAGCTCTGTCCTGCCACAGCAGCTCAGAGAGCACTCATGCTCAATTTTAGGTGCCTTGAATGTCAGCTACAACTGTTGTGTAAAGCTTTTTCTTTTCCTGAAAAAGGGCTTGAGAAGATGAGTAGGATGAAACAGTTGTAAATGGGGGGGGGGGGGAAGGGAATTCCGAATGATATTTTAAAGATTCTTCAAGCTTCATCCTAATACATTCACTAAAGACATGCAGATGCAATATGCACTTTAGTTAAATTATAAGAAAAGGTTATCTGTAAGCTCCAGAATGCATCAAGAGGATGAAAGATGAGTGTATCAGTCCCCTTGGCCCACCTGATCCAGTTTGTCTAATTCTTTGTCAGGGAGGGTGTTATGCACTCTATATGCACCATAGCTCTTCTGAGTGCCATTGGTTATACTTGTATCCATAGGGCAAATATAATCTGTAGATTCATCAAACTTCTTTTTTCTTAAGTTTCCAAAATGTGAAAATCCAAGTTTCTTTGGCTGTCAAGAATGAAGGGTGGGTGGGTGGATGGAGAAAGAGAGAAAGCTTTGTCAGATAATCACTACACAGGAAACACAGAAAACACTGACAGTTAAAAATGACCTCTGCTAAATAATAATACCTTTCACAGACTTTACAAGATTAATTTGAACATTTTCATTGATTTTTCAAGTTCCTGTAGGAAATGAACAAATGCATCAAAAGGAAAGGGGAGGATTGTCTTTTTGCTGAGGAGGATGGTTAGTAATGGGCTCACTGACATAATTTTTTGGACTCCGTATAGGGAAACTAACCTGAGGTAAAATTCTTTCAAAATCAGAATGTAACTGTTTACCATTTTAGCAAGAAGTATTAACATATTATCCTTTAAAAGGACAGGGATGATAATAGTTTGATGAAGTCTTAAAACAATTTATTCTGTGCTTACAAAGTCACAGTATTTGCAAATCCCAATACAGAATTCCAGGACTCCCTATACAAAGAATCAAAATACTAGAAGATGCTTCAGAAGTTATTTAGTCCAACTTCCTGTTAAAGGCAGATTCTCAATGCAAGATACAATGGCAGCATCCTTCGTTGGTTACAAGAAGGCAGACTTCCCAAGAAGCCAGACAAGTCTTGAGAGAAGTGAGACTAAACTTTCTACTGCTGCCATCATGTTCCTATTCAACCTTGACTCTTCTAGGTACATTAAGTTTAAGATTTTAATGCATACTTTTAAGGGCACTAATTCCCCACCGAAGAAAAACTGATCCCAGCTGCAGAATAGGTGATACGCAAAGTAGCAGAACATAAATAAATGCTTCTTTAAAACAAAGTACTCTACTCAGTGCTGAGAAACACACACAAAGGTCCATATATCATTATGGAGAGTTTTTCTTCCATACCTGCTCCCAAATATCAGACCTCTCAAGTGGCACAAAACCATAGCAGCAACAACCCATGGTTGTTGTTTTTTTTTTAAAAAAACAAGCTTTAAAAAAATCTGGACAAACAAGCATTATTTCCAAAGAAAGAAAGAAAGAAAATTATCATTGCAAGTGTATTGCCCCATAATGAATCCTGGTTAACATCACAGATATGACCATCCTCCTATTATGTTCACTTAGAAATAAGCCCTACTATCTCATCTTCTGTCTGTCTGTCTGTCTGTCTGTCTGTCTCTCTCTCTCTCTCTGTGTGTGTGTGTGTGTGTCTGTGAATCAGCCTTGTATGTGTGCCTTGATATAAACCCCTGCATTATTTTGGGAGAATCGTTTTGCCCTTGCCTTCTTTCTAGGGCTGAGAGGGAGTAACTGGCTCAAAGCCATCTAGCTGGCTTCTAAAGCTGAAAGAGGACTAGAATTCAAGTTTTCCCACTCCAGCCCAGTCCTTAACTTATGAGACCAGACTGGCTTTAAAATTTAACCTAAATGAATATGTCAGATGCAACCATCAGCAGGGTAATGTTTACATCATTGTGCCCTGGCTGGAAGCTACGCTGCCTTTCCATCCCATGGATAAGTTTAAGTACAGTATTTCAGCTACTAAAGAAAAGCCTGCCATACTCTGCAGATGCAGATGCTGTTGCTAGAGCCTCAAAATGGCTCAATAATTAGAGCAGGTATTTCCCTTTTGAGGACACTAAATGAAATCCTCATCCTCACTTAGCCAGATTCCCCAGAATTCTTTGGGGACGCAAAGCCTCGGTTTTTAAATAACATTTATAACAGCTCATATTCAACTATTTCAAAAGAACTCCTACTGACCTCTCCGTGAAACTCACTCTCAAGTAGTTAACATGAAACATAAGATTGCTGGCCTAAGAGATTACTGGCTTTTAAATTGCCAGCTAGGAACTTAAGCAGGATTTCTAAAGTTTGCATGGTTTCTCTATAGCCTACCCGGACTTTTGCGGTGGTAGTCAGAGCTGTATAAGCGGTAGATTCCACGATTTCCCTTTTATCTTGCTGAGCCTCTGGCCCGATGAGCACATTGAAATTTGTGGTTAAGTGGCGTCTTAGCAGAGTCTTTTGGGGTGGAATGTTGAGGAGCATTGCTAGAGTGTCTCCATTGAAACGAGGCTCCAGGATCTGTGGGAGAAACAAAGAGCATCTGTGCTGCTCGAAGTGAGGTCTCTAAGCAGCAAGGTATTCAAAGGCTATTCTGAGGATTGCCTGGTTTCATTTGCTCTGCTAATGTGGGATGGTTTACCGTATCACAGAGCCAGGAAGCGTCAGGGCTTCACATGTTAACCATTATAATCCGTTTCCAGCAACTCTATAACATTAACAGGAAATATAAATTTTTAAAATGCCATTTTAAGCGGCACTTCTTTGGGATATCAAACAAAAACATCTGTTTCAGATAGTTATATTGAAGTTTCAGATCTATACTGCAGGGTTAGTAGGCTCTTCCATTTCCATTTGATCACATCTCTTAATGCAAGCCATGATGACTTGGATCCTGGAGTTGTTCCTGGGGTTTTGAGTCAGCAGAAACTCCCAATGTCAGGAAAAGAAATGATTAATCCCCTTTCCTCCTATAATTCCATGCTATTCTGGAAGGTGCCCCATTCAATTGCAACAAATCTGTGGGAGGGGATTGTAACAAATATATAAAAAATTCCAACTTTTCTGTCCGGCAGTGAGAACTTTGGGGAGCATAGTTTTGCTCACGGAAGACAGGATCCAAGCCAATGTTTAAAAAGGGGTATTGGTCATTTATAACAAGGCCATTGCCTCAATGGATATATACTCGAATGATGAAAAATAGCACAAGAGAAAGAAAGAACAGAAAACTGTAAGAAGAGATGAACAGAATTAAGTAGGACTATGTTTGCATAAATATATATACTATCTACATTCATAACATCTGATGTGTCATTTTTAGAGGCACAAAGGAAGAAATCAATTGTAGAAAAAGATTTAAAAGAAGGAAGAGAAGGATTATATGCTTGATATAATGTTATGAAATGTATACAGTTCCTAGGCTAATGTGAGCTTGTTTAAAATAAGATAAACAATAACTGATGTCAAGAACACAATTGTTTTAAAATGCATTTGTAACTGTCCATCTTCAGTCTAGGCCATTTCAGTTTGCACTGTTGTTTAAAACGATTCATGATGAAAGATAATTTGTTCTCCCTTGCCTGGGATAGTTTATATTCATTAAGCCTCAGCCAACATTTTATCAATTGAAAGTAGTTTCTGGTCTCCAATTTATTTCATATATGAAGTGCTAATGATTTGGGTACTGGTTTATAACACAAGATGATTTATAAAATGTAAGTTAAATATTGCCAAATTTATTTTACATAAAACACTCAGAGAAAAAAAATTCCATTGTAATAAACTGACTTTCCTTTTCTTCAATCAACAAAATAGACACAAACAGTAAAAGCTGAAAGCTGCTGTGTCAATAACTGTCATGTTAATATTTATATTGCAAAACCTAAAGGAAATTAAGCTCTTTTCTCTTACGATGAGTCCACCGTGAACGCCGCTTCCTCGAAGGTTTGGTGCATATTCTGCCAAATCTACTGATCTGAGCCATTCCATCACTCTATGATTGGACCATTGAACTACTTCTGATGATGAAACATTATTCTGTGTTGTAGAAAAAAAAAGGCATGGTAACTACAGTAAACTACACCTAGATGCTGCTAATAAAGTGATGCTTTCTAAATATTCAGTAATTCTTCCTTAATCTGTTTTGTAGCTTTTATTCCAATTTCTTTCCCACTTTTTCCACAAATATCCATTTGCATTTCAATCTGTAAGGTAAAAAGTAGGCCGGAATCAATCTTATACTTAGAATTGCATATAGATATGGGCCTGGCATTCATATTTCTCTGAGCAGAAGCAAAAGGCAAAGATAAATTAACTAGCAAGCTTGCCTAGGAACAAAAAAGTCTGGAAGATTTCCTCACCAATGGGGATATGAGCACTGAGTCTAGGAAGCAAAAATCAATGATTTTTATCTCACCTCATCTGCTGGTCTTCTGCGTAAGCAATGCGGGTTAAAATTGTTCACGTGTAGCACGTGGATGGCACATTTAATGCTGAGGTGATGCAGCTGACTTGTGACTTTGAGGAAGAGGAGGTCATTCTGTAAAGGAAATCATTGTTTTAACAGAATAAAGCTATTAAACTTCAGAATTAGAATTTCTTAGAATTTTAAGAAACCAAGACAACACAATTTTTCTTTTCCTATTGTAGTCTGTATGTACCATCATTGTGATTTCTACTACTGTTATCAGAGCACACAAAGTAAGAAGGGAAGCACTGTTTCTTGTTCTGTCACCACAGAATCTTCCTCGACTGACAGCCACAACTGGGAATAGAATTTCCATTGCTAAGCAAGGCAGTTGTTAAGTGAGTCATGCCCGATTTTATGAACTTTTTTTGCAACGTTTGTTAAGAAAATCACAGGGCCATGAAGCAAATTCGGCTTCTCCCATTTACTTTGCTTGTTGGAAGATGGCGGGGAAGGACGCAGGTGGAAGTCACATGACCCTGGGACACTGCAACAGTCGTAAACACATGCTTGTTGGCAGGTGCCTGTAAGTGCAAGGATCAGTCTTAAGTCACTTTTTTCAGTACTATTGTTAACTTTGAATGGCTGCTAAACAAATGATTTTAAGCTGAGGACTATAAAATACTGGGGAGTCATCAGTTTAAGGAAGGTGCAATGCTGCCTAAATGCAACTAATTAGCGGGAGATTCCCCTCCATTTTATAGTGTGCTGGAGTTCTGAAGTTGACTGATTCTTTTGCCTATTCTACATCTCAGTTCTGGATCCAAAAAAATCTGTTGGTTGTTTTGTTCTGTTTTGTTTAGTCCTTTGTATTATGATACTGGCAGTATATATAAATACATTATGTATACATGAGAGGCAGTTTGATTTAATGATTAAGGCATCACATTAAAACAGGAGACCATGAGTTTTAGTCCCGTCTCAGGCACAAGGCCATCTGGGTGACCTTGATCCAGTTACTTTCTCTTGGCCCTAGAAAGGAAGCTATGGCAAACCACTGTTGAAAAACCTTGCTAACAAAACTGCAGGGACTTATCCAGGAAGCCTCTGAAAATTGGACACGGTTGAACAAAAAAAATGTACACATAGTACGCTGTTTAGATTGATCTATCATTTTAATATGGGAATAATAATTTTTATAGGATTGAGATGTGTTGTAGGATGAGTTTTATCCTTTTTTGTAGCATGATTTTAACAAAAACCATTCTCTCGTTTTAAGCTAGAGCAGCAATTAGTGTTGGTTTAAAAAAAAAAATGATGTGTGTGGGAGTTTCCCACTGTCATGTTTACCCTGAACATCCCAAAATGGCCTGGGTTAGCTTTCTGCCCACTCAAAGTATCTGGAAAATTAAATACTGACAATACTTGGGAATGCAAATTCTAAATATGGTTTTGAAAAGAAAGGAATGCTGGGATAAAATTATTCTCTTCTGCTTCAGGTCACACATTTGAATGAAAGAAAGGAACTTTTGCTAGTCCCAAACTCTGAAAATACAGATTTTAGCTACCTTACCACAGTTAGATATTGCAGCATTCTGCCATCAACTCGTGATTCATGAAACTGATCTTTGTACTGAGGTAAACCGATATCATCAAGCCATCCTGTGGAATGCACATAAATATATTTTACTGCGTAATAAAAAAACCCAATTCATTAGTTCACAAGACTAAATTTTGTTATTGCAGAAGGTTTCTTATATAGCTTCCTATATTCTCTGGGGAATAATATGATTTCCATCCCTATTGTTTGTGTTCTTTCTACATATTTAATATTTTTTCCCATCAAAACAGCTTTCTAAGAAATCTTCCATCTAATTTCATAGTTTATACAAAGCAATGCAATGCTCAAAAACATGTCAAGGAAATAAAACTGAAGAAAATGAAAATAAAGCCACATATCTCTGTAATGTTTCTAGAGATGAAATTAAAGCTGAATAGGGTTTTTAAAAAAACACATACAAATTTCTAAATTGTAAAGTAGGCTGGAAACGTAATCAATCTGTTTTTCATTTCCTTTTGCCATTTCAAATACTTACGTGTAACCCAGATATGATCTAACTGTGCAGACTTATCATCTTGTTTTGCATTAATAGCTTTGATTGCCAAAACCAATTTCTTCCTGTGTAAAGGATGCTTAATTCCTAATTCCTGTAAGGGGAAGCAATGATGATAATTAAAACAGTACCTTTCAACTTGACACCTCTTCAAATAGATCACAAATACATTGAAGTTCTTGAATAAAAAGTACTATGCTGAATTGGAAATTGGGAATTTCCAAAGTAATATTAATGTTTTAATGTTTAAACCTCAAGATATCCAATTTGTTGTCTGCTAGTACATGACATAAAGTTGCTAAAAAGAGTAACTCTTTTGAATAACTGAATAATTCAATATATGCATGGCTGATTTTTTTTGGACCTATGGATCATAAATACTGTATTTCACTTTTAAGTTTAAAATATGCAGAAAAAATTATATGTGAAAAAGGGTTGTGCAAAGTATGTTTGTTTGTGTGTGTGTATGTGTATGTGTATAATTGTAGAGAAAAGTGAAAAAAGAAACTGAGTCTACTCTTTAAAAATCCTTATAAAAATGAACACACTAGGAAAAGCACACACAAAATACGTTCTTTCTAATTTGTACTGCCTTTTACTTGGTTTTCTGTTTTGTTCTATGAAAATTCTGGCAAATCAACCCTTTTAATTCCTCCATTTCTCTATGATGGCAACCAAATTTGTATACTCTGCCTACAAAGATTTATTTATAGGTGCATTACATAATTAAACCTACTTATTAACTAGAGTTGAATTAACAGTGCTTGCTATTGGATTTACAAGCCCTGTTATTTGGTTTATATTAATAGCTGTTTTAGGAATGTTCATGATTCATTGCTATAAAGGGCCTTTTATTAAATATATTTATTAATTAAATGTATTTATTTATTAGAAAATATAATCTTTTATTAAATGTAGAGTGGATCTAAAAAATAAAATAAAAGCAGTCAAAATAATCTAAAACGCTCCCTTGAATCAGATATGCACCATTTAAAGATAACTTATTCTGTCCCTCCACTAAACTTTTAGTATAGCCTCTATAAGTGACTATCCTTAAAGACAGTTTTCCCTTCTCCAAAGAACAAGGGTCTTATGTAAAGCAACCTGACAATTGCTATTCATTTTCCCTGCTTAGACCTCTGCTTTATATTTTTGGGAGATAATCCAACCATACTGCTGCAGCCAGATCAAGTAACACCAGGGGATATTAATTTAATATTTTCAAAATTACATTTAACAGAGTTGGAAAGTACCTTGGAGATCTTCTAATCCAACCCCCTGCTCAAACAGGAAACCTTGTATCATTTCAGACAAATGGTTGTCCAATCTCTTTTTAAAAACTTCCAGTATTGGACACCCACAACTTCTGGAGGAAGTTGTTCCGCTGATTAATTGTTCTAACTGGCAGGAAATTCCTCCTTAGTTTTAGGTTGGTTCTCTCCTTGATTAGTTTCCATTCTTTGCTTCTTGTCCTGCCTTCAGGTTCTTTGGAGAATAGGCTGACTCCCTCTTCTTTGTAGCAGCCCCTTAGATATTGTAGCACTGCTATCATGTCACCCCTAGTCCTTCTCTTCATTAGACTAGCCATGCCCAGTTCCTATTGCCATTCTTTATATGTTT